TGATCCTATTTATAAATCACTTCCAACATATTTTTTCAAAATCAAGAAAAACTTTAAACTTTATTATTTTTATTTTAAAATTTAATAAGTTTCCACCTTTACCTTAATAAATATTCTTAAATTTTATTACTGATATTTTTATTCAAAACATTTAATAAAGAAAAAAATATAAAGAGGAACATTGAGAATTGGCAAGTGTCTTATAAATAAAACTTAATTTTTCTACTCTCTCTACCCTATAAATAAAATCAAAGGAATATATCTTTATCTTACTAACAAAGACAACCATTCATCATACAAACTTTAAGATCTTATACTATTTTATCCAAATTTTATACTCAAACTAGCCTTTTGGAGCATCATCTAAATGAACAAATCATCTCAATGATTGCCGATAACTTAAAAACATTAATAGAAGAGTAAAATATAAACATTTATCTCCATAGTTTTTCGTCCACAACCTACTACAAACAGAAAGATCAGCTCCTTGCAAGGCTTACTTCCTCAAACACTTATCCTTTTCTTGATACTAGGTCCAGCGACGGACATTGACAGACATAACAGGCCTTCTCGTCTATTTGTACCCGTGGCCTGTGGCCTCCTTTGTTGGTTGTGTCTGCAAATGGGATGCTATTGGGCTTGGTTTTTGGGCCTTTCTTGTTTTTAGCCCAATTTTTGTCATTTTTACCTCTTTTCTTTACAATTAACACAAAATAGACAAGTGAGATATTTTATCCTTATTTAACTCTATTTTGTGAATTGTTTAGTTAATTTAAGGACAAAAATTCATATAAAATAGAGGTAAATTATCCACTTATTACACACCACTAAATTATGCTCACTAATTTTTCAAGCAACAACGCATCTTATGATGGAAGTTTCATTTTCGCTTAAGAGCTATTTCAAAGTAATGGGCTTTACTTGTATGAGATCAATGTGTTTTATTTGACCTGATTTTGTACAGTTATGTTGATCTGAATATATTTCACCTTCTTTGCAAATATATTGTAACCAACACAAGCTAAAAGAAAGAATTCATCCTAAAAAAACTAACCTATTGAGTGAGACAATCCCTCACACTTATAAACCTCACAACACTTATGAGACTCCCCAATGTGAGACTCATAACAATGTCACCTTGTTGAAAGTCAATGTTCGCAGTGGCTCTACTCCATAGTAATTCACTTAGCCTTTTGTTAGTCAGAACCCTTCTTGGATAATCCTTTTCATGACAATGGCCTCTCAATAGAAGCATCAATATAATAAGTACAAGTTTAAAGGGAGAATTTATTTTAAAAAACTAGCCTATTGAGTAGGAGAACTCCTCACACTTATAAACTCCACACCATTTGTGAGACTCATGACACACACACATTCTATTTGAAGTTTTTGACTACAATGTGATTCCTTATGAAACAAAGGTTTTTCTTAATTAACCACTAATTTATCTAAGCAAATATTTTAAAATGTAGCAGCCTATGAAATACATATTATCTTTTGTTAATTGCAATGAAACAACGACAATAGTGTTCTTTCATTCAAATTGTATGTTGAATATTGAAAAAACAATCTTAAAGGTGACGTGGCAACAACAAAAAAGGCAACAGAAAAGAAAGATGAGATGAGAAACTTGGCAATTAATTATCAAAGAATCAACTGGCCAAGCATTGGGCTTGTGTTTAATATAAGGTTCTCATTGCATCATTTGATTTTGGTTCTATTGCACTTTTGCCCTCTTGGTTTACAAACATTTTTATACTATAATTAAATAAAATAACAAGAAAATTATGTATAAGTCTCATGAAGTAGACTTATTTATAAATAAATCCTGTAAAATTTAAAAATTACAACAAGGTCTCTTGAGATATAAGTATAATTTGAAATTTAGGTACAAAAATAATAATACCTCTATTAAAAATATATTATATCAATTTAGTAATTTACAACTATTTTTTCAGTAATTTATAACTATTCACTTCAACTTTTTATAACTATAATTTTATATATCCAATAATTAAACTATAACTTTAATACTAATTGTGTACAACTACTTAATCAGTAATTTACAGCTATCATTTTAACGTTTTATAATTATAACTTTAAATATTTAATAGTTACATCAATTATGTATTACTAACAAAATTTAATACCCATTGTTTATAGCTACCTCATTAATAATTTATAACTATTATTTTAATATTTTGCAATTGTAAATTCACATATTTAATAATTAAATTTGATCATGCATTACTAACAAAGTTTAACAATAATTATTTATAATTATTTTATCAGTAATTTATAACTATCACTTCAACTTGTTTCAATTATAATTTCACACATCTAATAATTAAATTGATCATGCGTTACAAGTAAGGATAATATTATCCTAATTTTAAATTACACTCAAATTTCAAGAGGCCTAGCTATGATTTTTAAATTTTATAAAACTTATTTGTAAATAAATTTGCTATATAAAACTTATATTTTTTTTTCCTAAAATAAACTTGTCAAATATTATCATTGGGGTCCCAAGATAATCCAGCCATTTGACTCAAGGCATTTGAACCCCAAACAACTACCATAAATAAGCTCATCATAACACAACAAAATATTTAAATATTACATTGATTCTAAATAAGTTCGGCCCACTTCACAAAATAAATTAGTTAGATCCTTCAAAAAAAGAATTCAAATCAAAATAGTCATAGAAGTTGTCAAGTTGGCTAAATCCCAGTACAAAGGTTAAAATTTATTATACTGGATCATGGCAAATAACAAAACAACAAGACATGTGCCGAGTCCAATAGGCTCAATTTTCTTTTGCCTTCCTCTATGATCTACCCCAATCCTCACATGGAAAATGGTAAAAAAGGTAATAAATGAGAATACATGACTATGACCTTTCCTCATGCCCCCTTCCACCTTTACGACTAATCATGCTGGCTGGAGTTTTAGTTTGGGGACATAATCGACCAAAAGTCTATAGCCTACAGATCTAAACTCTTGTCCTTGAAAAGAAGTGCCCCTTGTGTTGTACAATGTCAAAGGAAAAGGTACTCCCAAAATTCATCCACTATGCACCAAGGGATGACGTACCACGTGGCAACAAATAAAACAATTTAACAACCCCATAAATCCACCATTAACAAAGTCCTTCTTTGCCTCCCACAAGTGCATCACATCAAGCAACCAAATTTCCAAAACAATCAAGTATGTCTAAAAAGAATAAAACATATTTGTTCGAATACCACTAGCATGCTTGAAAGAATTACAGTAATTACCAACAATTATTTCTCAAAAGCTAGAAAGTTTTTACCTCTTGTCAAAATTAAGCACGTGTTCAGTTTTTTATTGGCCAAAAATTAATTTGTTAAGAGTTTATTTGACAAAATTTAATTTTGATAGAAGTTAGTTATTATAATAAAATTTGTATTTGAATATATTTTAAAAAATAGTTTAGTAAATTAAAAGTTGTTTGAATTGTATATTATGAAAAGTGCCTTTAAATGTAAAATTTACCAAAAAGAATATTTACTGTTATGATTTATAATTTTTGTTATACAAATAAATACATATTTAAAATGTTTGAAAAGTATATGTAATAAAAATTTAAAATAACATAAAATTTCATATATTAAAAAATAAGAATAAAAAATATAAAGTTAGATATATTGAATTAAAATTATATAAATAGTTTGATGTACATTAATATTGAAAATTAACATAATTAATTGGACTAAGTCACTTTTTTCTTAATTATCTAATAACAGATGTGACATAAGTTATTTATTAATCAATGCTTATTTTCAATTTTTTTTTTTTTTTTGCCCTTTTTCGCGAGACCAAAGCATTTGAACAAAGAAATAATGCAACATCACTCAAAAAGTTGAATGTGGTCTCAGAAATCACACGTTTTAGGATCCACTTTCAGGTCCAATTTAGATATGCTTTCCAATAGTTGGCTCAAGTAAAATTGTAATACCCAAACAACATTGGGCTTTTTGAATGTGAAAAAAAAACTTTTTGAATGTTAAATGTAGAACAATGAATTGGACCCTAAAACAACTCACTTTCAACATGTGCCAAACGTTGCAAGTCAATAATTAATCAACATATTAAATGATAATAAAACTCATTAATAATAATCTCAAACAATTAATAGATTCATATTATTGACCCTAAAAGCTCCCAACTTCCCAAGATTAGAATCTAGTCAGTCTAATCAAATTCCTATCAACTATCCCAAGTCAAAATCTTCAATAATCCTTTCTAATCAATTTAATTGCACGTCATTTACAATCTTTGCCAAAATTCTCAATTCTCCAATACAGGATTCTTCACCCAAATTTTCCAAATACATCTTATTTGAAACTTAATGTTTTTTTCTTGAACTAATTTTTTTTTATTTTACATTTGTTTGAATCAATAAAAATTATTAGGACCTAATTGTCATTCTCCCTATTATTAATAATAGCGTGTACAGAATGAGTCTATTCATCTACTGTAATTAAACATCAAGAATTTGGAAATAAATTTCTAAGGACTCATTCCTATACTTTTATACCATTTATGAAGTTATTATAACTTATAGACTTTATCAAGAACCACTAAAAATCATAATTTTCAAAAAGTCTCTTTGTTATTTTTTTATTTATTTGATAAATTCCATAATTTCTGGATCAACTTTGAAAAATTATAATTAATTCTAAAAACTTGATTTTGAGTTGATTTTCATCTTGTTTTAAAACTTGAAGAGTCCAATATTTGGGGGAAAAATATGAAATTTGATTTCAACTAGCCCAAATGATAATGTCAAGGAATCAAGTTATGGGTCTGGGCTTTACAGAGTCAATTGGACTTGCTTTATATGGCCTTCGTTCAAGGCCACCTTCAAATTTTTATTTACGAAAAAAAAAAAAGAAGTCGCTAAGGTACTCAGCATATAATCACCACGTGTCACTTCCCCATTCGGTGTTCATTGCCTTGAATGGCAGGTGAAGAATTCGGCCTCGGAGAATCTGTTATCTCTGTCAAGAACTCTATAACCGGTTGCAAAGAGAATTTTCTTGGAGAGCTGGAGAAAATGTGAGAAAGATTTGTTTGGCGAATCGGAAATTAATTAGCATATCTTGTTTCATCTGAGAAAGCTCAAGAAAATGCCTAGAAACGGCGAGGAAGGGAACGTTCCTGTAGCTTCGTCAAGCACCCGGGTCAGAGCCAGACCGGACCCTTTCTTGGTAGCGTGTAGATGCTTCAGCTTATTGACCGGTTTGGCTGCGATCCTTTGTATCGCTGTCAATATCCTCTCTGCTGTGCGCTCCTTCCAGAACAGATCTGATGTATCTTGCTTTTTCTTGCTTTCCTTTGTCTAAATTCGCATCACCGTCAATAAACTCCATTTTGCTTCATCTTTTTTTTTTTTTTCCTTCGATGTTTATTTCTCGTTTTATGTGGGGTATTAGGTTTTTGATGGCATATTCCGTTGTTACGCTGTGTTGATAGCTTTTATTGTGGTTCTGGCCGAAACGGAATGGAGTTTCATAACCAAGTTCTGGCAGGTTCGTTTTTTTGATGTTACAGTTTAATTTGTCATCTTCCTGAGTAATTTGGTCATTACTCATTATGTCTCAATAACGATCATTATAACGGTGTGGATTAGATTTGAGTTTCTCCTTGCTGTTGTCACTTTAGTATTGTTTCTAATGTCTACGTAAATTATGATGTATTTTACAGGTTTTGGGATACTGGGTTGGCAGGGGTATGCTGCAGATTTTGTATGTCTCCGCTTTACTTTCGGTTATTCCTTCCACTATATTCTTCTTTTAATGAGCTTATCTACATCTGCCTTGACCAGTGACACCTTAAATAGTAATGTATAAATTATAAACTTATGTTAGTATTGAACATGTTGAGTTCGTAAATTCAATCTGGGGTAATTGGCAGACTTTACGTATTATTTAGGTTTGGTCACTGATAAATGCTGATATTAATGAGCCATATAGTTTATTATTATTTATATATTGTTTGAATTTGGAAATGTTACGAGACTGAGCAATCAACAGGAGCTAATTATGTTAATATCAAGACACATATGGCTTGTTTGGTTCCTGAAACACGGTTTACTTTCTGCAGTGTTGCAGTAATGACAAGGGCTTTCCCTGACTATCTTGGGGAGATGAAGGATCTTGTTCTTCTTCAGAATATATCATGCTATCTGCTTCTTGCTTGTGGTGTGGTTTATGTTGTCTCGGTAAGATTTTTGTAGACAGCAAACTATTAGGTCAAGAGTGCGGGCATGAGTTTTTTTTTAAGAGGTTACATCAGGAGGGTTTTAAGTTCAACCTTTAACCTCTATCCACATCCCATTCTACTCTTATCACATGAATTAGCCTCAAGTGGCTAGTGTGTGCATGATTTGGTTCTTTTTGCATTTGAAGTTTTTTGTTGATACCTGCCATTTTACCACTGAAAAGAATATGGTTTATATTATACTTAACAGTTAATGCGTATGTAAGTTTTTTTTTTTTTAAATGAGAAAATTATATACCTTACACATTGTGTGAGTCAGCAAAATTAGTCGATGTTATCTTGTTAAACAGATGTTCTTACCTTGCTTACTTTGTCATCCTAATTCAAGGGAATACTATGCATTGGTTTTCTGAAGCGTACTCGCCAGCAGCAGGAAATCACCAGAGAGCAAGCAATCAAGGATCTTGAGGTAGGCTGTTACCCTGCAGTGTTATGACATATTCTTATATTGATTTCTGTTTATGCGCCTGTATTTCTAACGGTCTGTCATCCCTACACATGGAAGATCCTAATAAACATCTTGCACTCCCACAAATTAGTGATTCTAATGAACTAGAGGTTCGAAAGCTCTTAAATTTCCCTTTGTTACATTGCATTCAAGCCTGGAAACTGAAAACTGACGTATTTGATCACTCCGTATTTACTCTTGGAATTTTCTTAATCCTGGAATGCGTGGATAGTTGGTTACATAATCATGCTGCATTTGAAAAAAGGCAAAACTGTAAAAATGGTATGCTTGCACTTTTTCCCGTTAAATGCTTATAGTCACTCATGCTGCAAGAATCTCTGCCCTTGTTTGTGGATTGATGTTCCTTTCAAGTCCATCATCTTCCGTGGAAATTAGGCACAAAGATCAATGGCATGGACTAGTTTCAAGTCTCCAGTCTTAATTGCATTGATAGAATTTGGACAGTTTTATAATAGCATTGCTCTTAATAGAGAAGTTACACGTTTCCAGGAGTTGCGAAGGCGCAAAGAGGAGCTTGAACAACTGCTTCTCCCTGAAAGTGTTTGAAACTTTGTAAAGGAATTGTGACTGACTAACTCATTACTTAGTGTAAAGGTACAGCCACTGGAAAAAGCCTGAATTTTGGTCGCTGTTTTGCTGTTTTATACAAGGTTGTTTGCTCATTCTTTGTACCTATTGAAGTTTTTTCCTGTAAATTTGGTGAATTGAATTACTTCAGTAGGCAAATGCCTGAGTCTTGATTGCTGTGTCATACAATGTGGTTGTCCAGTCTTTGTAAAGTGTGAATTTTGTTCTGTAAGTCAGGCACTTGATAGTGAATAGGTAAAAGTAACAGCCACGATTCTGATTTGACTGTTTTTATTTTTAAATTCAGTATAACTATGGTGCTGGGTAAACTTTTCAAGAATAAACTTTCAGAAGCACTTTGCGGAGGAAACCTACAATTAGATCATGTAGGCATTTTGATTGCAGTTATGCTTATTTCATACATCTAAAACTGGAACTTATTTTTTAAGGGCAAATCATAAGTCGAGAAGATTTTTTTGGTGAGGAAAGATCTCAATCACAATGCAAAAGATAAAAAAAAAAAAGTGTTCTTTAAAAAAGGAAAAAGAAAATGTTTCTAAAAAGAAAATAGAATATGTGCATTTCGCATTTTCTTTTTAGAAAGCATTTTTTTCATATACCAAACACGCGAAGCTCTATGATTTATAACTTCTAAATAATACAGTGTAATGTAGATTATTTTTATTATTATTGTGTATTGATATATTGAATTTAATAAATAGAATGGGTTCTATGTATTTATATGAAGCTCATGACTTACTTTGTTTAAAGGCGTTCACAAGTTTGGTTTAAAAAAAAAAAAAAAAACCAAACTATTTGATGCACTAAAATTTGAGACCTATCCTATTTTTCTTTCTAATTGGTTGGATTTGACTTGATTTCGATTTGGATTATGTTTAAACTTTCCTTGTGAGATATTATTTATAATCATCAATATATTCACTATTGAAAAAAATTTATCTATTCATAAATTACTATTTACAATGAAAAATTCTCTTTAACATAAAGGAATATTTTTCCAACAATTAATTAGTATATTTAAAACACTTGATTATAAAATTAAATGTTATAATAAATAATTATAAATAACATATAACTAATTGCAACAACTTTTACTAATGCTTTACATATAACTAATTAGGCAAATTTATAAAAATGTTTATAATAAATATAATAAGACGAGGTTCAATTTGACTCAAGTTTTAAAAAATAAAAACCTAACTCTAATCAAATTGACCAGTTTTATCAAAAGAAAAACTAAACCAATCCTTATTTATTATCAATTTTGATTAGTTTATGTCAATTTAATTCAATTTAATCAATTTGAATTGCTTTTTAAGCACTTTTTGTCTATAGCTTACAAATAATATAATTTGTAATGCCACAACACACGTGCAAGTGTGCATACACATAACTTATCTAGCTAAAAAGTTGAGATAAGGCTATGTTGATGCTTGGCTGACCCAACCTATGTGTAGCCCTAGTTCGTGGGTTATTAATATGGGAAAATCACACTTGAGTCCTATAGAGCAAATATAAATATAGCCAAGTTCCAACAAATGGAGAAAATATTCTATAGTTCCTTGGTCCTTTAGTGTGAGTAATTCAATAAGTAAAGTTATTCATGTGCCTTGACTGAATCAAAAGGAAAGAATGAAGAAAGAGAAGACATTTTCGTGCAGTGGAGGTAATAAGTTGAGCTTTCACAATCGTCTTAAAAAAAGTGAGCCAAGTAGGGTCATTATGTAACTAAAATGGGAACCTACTATTATTTTCCTATCCCATATTGCTGCATCTTTGATCTTTTAAATGCATTTGGTGTTTGCAACTTTAAAATTTCGTCAAGTAAGAAAAGCTCGGCTTCAACCTTCAGTTTTGGTGTTACTGTGACCATACCGAATTAGGTAAATGATGATATTTGTTTTCATGTGTTTTTTGCTAATAATTTAATTAGTCTTTTATTATTTGTTGATCGAATAAAGCCATGTGGGTTGTCTCTCTCTCTCTCTCTATGAGTATATTAGTTTAGGCAATCTTTCTTTTTCTCTTTATGTGGTATATCTATAGTGAGCAGTCACAGGCCTTGCATTTATAATGGTATATTCGAGATTATGGTATTACTTGGTTGAGTTGATAAATTTGTTATGAAATGGTTAGATGTGCTATTAATAGCATAAGTATAAGTTGTCAATATGCTATGGATAATTGTCAGTATGTTCTATGTGGTTCAGGTTGAATTGATAAATCTATTATAAAATGACAAGATGTGTTGTTAAGAGCCTAAGCATAAGTTATCAATATGCTATAGGTAATTGTTAATATGTTGTGTGTGGTGTAGGTTAAACTGATAAATTTGTTATGAAATGATAAGATGTGTTATTAATAGCCTAAGCGTAAGTTGGTAAAATGTGTTGTTAATATGTTGTGTGTGATGCTAGTTGAGCTGATAGATTTGTTATGAAATATGTAAAGGGAGTGTAAGAACAAGAACAATAAAAGGAATGGATAACATATGAAGAGTTGAAAAGAATATTATAATTAATTATAGGATATGAAAGCAAGTGAAGAAAGTGGGAATGCGTGATGCTAGTATTTACACATGATATCCATGTCTAGGTGCATTAACATTCACGAATATATTAACCCAAATATTCTTGCAATCACTAAAGACTAGAAGGCCTTTAGGAAGGCTTAGGATAAGAATCTCAATTTCAAAACAAGAAAGTTTATCATCGTAGAAGATGTCATGAGACCAGTCATACTTTCAAGGCTTGAAAGAACCCTAATCTATGCTAATTTGCTAGAGATGTGAATTTTATTATTTATGTAGTTGGTATTTTTTTTTTGTAAATGCATATGGTATTTTTTGTAAATGTTATTAGATTCAAATAGAGTTTGTAAATATCCATGCAATCCATATAGTTTTTTTAGAATGGGTTGTGAATATTATGTAATGACATGGAAGATGTTTCTAAAACTATACTATATCTTGTACATTAACTTGTAAATAATGATGTAAGCCTTGTTGTCAATGAATGAACATGAAGTAGTAATTTCCCCTTGCCTTATTATTATTAACCTTTACCTAATTGTAAATAGTTGGTCTGCAACACTCACGTGCATTTTATTAGTATTTTGTTACACTAAAAATTAGATAAATTGTGAACACCCTTTGTCCAATTGTTATTCCCCATTACCTTATTGTTATTTCCCTTTGTCTAGTTGTAAATAATGGTCTACAATACTTGTACATTTTATCAGTAGCAGTTACACTTAAAAATATATTTGTTATCAATGTTCTTTGCCTCATTATCATTATCTCTTGCCTTATTGTTATTTCCTTTTGCTTAATTGTAAATAGTTGGTCTGTAATACTAGTGCATTTTACCGGTGGCTTGTTATATTTAAAAATGTATAAGTTGTCAATACCCTTACCCCATTGTTATTCTCACTTACTCTGTTATTATTTCCTTTAACTTAGTTGTAAATGATTGGTCTATAACAAAGTTGTTACAACCTATTAATCAATTATATATTATGTAATACATAATGTAAAGGCCTCTTGATAATTGCAGGGCACTTGTGTTGTCAACAATTGAATATTGGTGAGAAACATGTAATGACCATTCTAGTTAAAATTAAAACTAATATTCATCCTTGATATAAACATGTACAAAGTCAAATATACAAAATAAAAGGTTTAGAATACTATGTAACAAAGTAAGTGCATAAAAGTACAAAAAAGTTATATCCTAAAATGATATGCACACTTGGATAGCTCTTTTATTTTCTCTTTTTGCTTTGGTTCGATCTTGATAACATAGACATGATTGTGGGTTCATTTTCATTGTTGCAATGATTGAAAAACCATCATATGGATTCAACTTTTTTTTTCAAAGGTCATCCTATATAAACAAATTAGAAAAGAAATTGTGACCCCAAAAAAGTAAGTAAGCAATAGATTTATTAGCTCAACTTGTACTGCACAATATATTAACAAATACCCGTAGCATATTAACAACTTATGTTTAAGGTATTAACAATACATCTTACCATTTTATAATAAATTTATCAACTCAACTTGCACCATACGCAACATATTAATAACTACCCATATCATATTAATAACTTATGCTTAGGTTCTTAATAATACATCTTGTCATTTTATAATAGATTTATTAGTTTAACTTGAATCACACAAAACATATTGACAATTACTCATAGTCTATTGATAATTTATTCTTACACTATTAATAACACGTCTTACCATTTCATAATAAATTTATCAACTCAACCAAGTAACACCATAATTTCAAATGCATCATTACAAATGTAAGGCTTGTGACTACTCACTACAAATATATCACATGAAGAGGAAAAGAAAGACCACACAAACTAACAAACTCACAAAGAAAGAAAGAGACAACCCATATCGCCTTTATTCAATCGATAAACAATAAAATACTGAATTAAATGATTAGCAAAGAATACATGCAAATCAATTTTATCATTTACCTTGTTCAATGCGATCATAGTAACACTAAAACTGAAAGTTGAAGTTGGGTTTTTCTTCCTTGACAAACTCCTACAATCGTAAACATCAAACGCACTTAGAAGATCGCAGATGCAGTAATATGGGATGGGATGATAACAATGGGTTCGCATTTTAGCTGCAAAATAATCTTACCTAGCTTACTTTTCTCTATTTGGTGGGACTTGGTTGTATTTATATTTGCTTTATGGAACCTAGGTGTAATTTTCCCTATAAATATTGTGATGTCTTACAATTTTTATAATATAATATTGTAAGACAATTTAAGACAAGATTACACATTAATAAATTTTAACAATAAAATTTTACAAATTTATTTTTTCAAAACAAAATTAAAAAATTTTAAAAATGCCCTTACACATCTTATCGATAGTATTAAAAATGCATAATTAATGAAATCTTATTTTTATTAAATTATTTTATATTTTGGAATAACAAAATACCCTCAAAATTATCTTATCCCTCTGTTTAAAAATGTAAGACATTTTTTAAGGAGTTGGATGTTAAAAAATGTAGGGCATTTTTTATCTTTTAAGGTGTAATCATTGTTTTTTTTTAAAGTGTCCCTATTGATGAATGATTTTATATTTATTGTAGGATGTTTAATTGGGATAAATATGAAAAGATATGATTAGTTTGAAACTAGATAACTATTTTATTAAAGGGTAAGTTTTGGTTAAAAATATTTTATATTTTTTAATAGAGAGAGTAAGTTACAATTTGAAATGGAGAGAATATATAATAAAATATATAATTTTTTTTAAAAAACTTTATTTTGGCATTGCCGTAGAAGTTTAATTTTTTGAAGAAAAATGAAAAGCAAATGGAAAAGTGAAAACAAGGAAAGAAACCCAAGCCGGGAGCAAAGGCCCAAAGACATTTTCAAATTTTCCATCGACCACCTCACTCGCCGCTTTCCAAAATCCGAACCTTGCTTCAGCTCTCTCTTCCCCTCTCTTTCCGAGATCCATCAATGCCTCTTTGAAAAGGTAAGTTCCATTCAATTCATCCAATATCTCTGTAAAAACCGTCATTCTATAGATTTGTCATGCGAACTTTTCACTCGCCATTTTTCAGATTAACTCCTTCTTGGCCCTTTTCCTCCTACTGTTTGGTAGCTGATAAACTGATTCAAATTTAAAAGGTTTCACATCCCTCACTTGCTCGTCAATTATAGGTGAGCTCCTAATCTGAATTTGGCTAATCTTTACCGTTGATTCTGAATCCTTTCGTTTTTAATCCGCTGAACGAAGAAAAGAAAAGAAAAGAAGAGCTTCAACACAGTATGAGTGTCATGTGGATCTGAGTCTAAATCTGAATCATTTGGTGCTTTTTCTTGTATTCAAATTTTAGCAGGTCACTTAACAATGATCATTTAAAGCATGAAATTGGATATTGGACCTCGAATTTGGACGATGATTATGAAGACTTGACCTATTTCTCCCTTACTCAAGTTTTCATGTATATTACGTGTGTAATTGGAATTTGAATTTTTTATGATATTTCAAGCATCACAATATTTTGGTTCTGTAAGCATAATTTAGACATATAGCATAGCTTGAACTGATTCTAGGTAATTTTATGTAAATCCATATTCTGGGTAATTTCAAACAGCAGAAAGGGATTTTCATTTCCTCGATGGCTTGTTTTAGGTGATTCCTTATCTACAGCATAGACAGAAAGAGTTTCTCTTACTCCATACATATGTGATCTTTGCTTGACAAATTTCTGGTCCATTCTGCGATTTGAAGAAGCAATGCCCAGCCTCCATCGACGTAGCTTCTTTAGATAAAATCAAATCCCCTAAAATAAATATTAGTATTAATTGCTAATTTAATATAAACTCACCGTCGGATTCAAGTTACCAGCCATTTTGATTTTATGTGTCTCTATGAAACAATTCATATTTCATATAATGATAATTTAATATATTCTATTGTGCTATTCATCACTTTTCCTTTATTATCAGGGAAGACATACACATTCCAAGGAGGCAAATGGATACTGTCTACAGAGAATTAGATGAAGTCAAAGAAGAGGTGGAGAAGCTTAAAACAGAATGTCGAGTTAAAACAGAACTTGTTGAGAGCTTGAAGAACGCCCGCAATGAAGAATATCTGAAATTTCAAGAGATTATGCAGCAGACAGAGAAACAGGCCCATGAACTGCATCTTAAGTCTGAAGAGATATACGAACTGAGGAAAGTACATGAAGATCTCAAGTTCAATTTGCTTGAAAAAGAAGAGAATATCATGCATTTGAATTCAGAGAATAAGAAGATACAAGCTAATTTCGCTGAGAGATTATCAAAATTGGAAGAAGTAAATAGAGATCTCGTGCTGGCTTTAGATGAGCTGACAGTTAAAAACAGTGAGCTGGAGCAGAATGCTTGTGTCAATAATAAGGAAATTTCAGGCCTCAGAACACTTCTATCGGCTACAGAGAAGAAGTATCTCGAAGCAGAAGAGAAAACCCGGGAAGCTAAAAGGTTGCGGCAGAGAGATGATTTCATAATGCAACTGGAGGAAGAAAATAGAAATATGCAAGATAAACTGAAATGGAAAATTGAACAGTTTATACATCTTGAAGAAGCTCATGAAAAGCTTCAAAGGCAGTTCCAATCTGACAAGGATCAGTGGGAGAAGGAGAAATCTGCACTCCTTGAGGAGATCACTTCCCTGCAGACTAGTTTAGAGTCTCAAACAAGAATTCTAGAAGCAGTACAATCCCGTTTAGAGATGTGCAACCACGCATTAGCTCACCAAGAAAGCAGGAGGAAACTCCTCGAGGTTGAAATATCTGAATTCAAGTCACGGTTTGAGGATGTTTTTACCCAATGTGAAGAAGAAAAATCAAAGATACAGAGCTTGACCATTCAGAGGAATGAAGAGATTGCAGAGCTAAGGAATTCCCTGGGAGAAAAAGAGACACTAGTGAGAGAAATGGAACTTAAAATTGTTCGGCTTGAACAAGACAATCAGGAATTAGGACATTCACTTAAAGAACTAAGGGAAGCTGGAATCCAAAATGCTGGAGCAAGTTCTCTGCTATCAAAACTCCGCAACAAACTTAGGCACTTGGAAGAGGCACGCAAAAACTGTGCCTCTAGTATGAAGACTAAAGAATGTCAATGGGGTTATCAAATGGAAAAGATGGAAGCAGATATTAGTATGTATAAATCTTCATTGACCAGTAAAGAACAAGAAATAATGGATCTGCTGATGGAACTGGAAAATTGTCATTATGTAATTGAAGAATATTCTATGGGACTTTTGATCTTTAAATCTGAACTTGTTGAGGCTTACACCAAATTATTTAGTGCAGAAATAGATGAAGCTGTTCATATCAAAGGGAAAGAAGATATGACTTGTCTCTCTGAAGTGCAATTGGAAGTGAAAGACATTTCTCAAAATGTGGCACCACGTATTATGCTAGAGGAAGAACTTGAACGGCATAAAAAAATGCTTGAGGAATCATCAGAAGGTCAACATGCCTTGAAAGGGAAACTTCTGCAAATGGAGGACACTCTAAATTGTGAAAGACGTGTTGCACTTGAGGCTCAAGGAAAGCTAGAGCTTGAAATAGCCAATAAAAATAATGAGATCGCTCAATTAGGACGTGAATTAGAGAAGTGGAAGCATACGGCCCAAACTCTCAAAGCCTGCTCTGAAGAAATTCAAGGAAAGTGTCAAAAGATGGAGAGTTCCCTTACTTTGCAGTTCGAGAATGAGCAAGCCCTTAAGGATGAAAATGAAAGCCTTATCTGTATCGTCAAGGAGCAGGAGAGTAAAGCCGAGGAACTTCAGAAGCAGATTGCTTCCTTAGAACTGTACTGTACAAGTAAATTGAAGGAAGCAGAAACATTTAAGCAAGAGAAAGAAAATCTTCTCCAAAATGTTGAGGAGAAGGAGAGTTGCATTAAAGATCTTCAAAATGATATAGCCATGGCTGGCTTGCGGCAAGAGTCCTTGGAAAAGAAGCATCTTCCGCAACACTTGCACTATTGGATGCAGATAAAGCTCTGAAGCAGGAGAAAGAGAATCTTTTGAAGCTTAAAGAAGAGAAAGACCAAATCATAAAGCACTTGCACGAACTAGCCGAGTCATTGGAGCAAGATTTGATGTGTGCGCTGTCTTTCGCTTTCTCCGAACAAGTGGAAAAGTGGGTTGAGATCGGTGCGCTTACAGGGGCCTTAAAAGATGCAGAATATCTGACAAAGCGAGAAATTGAAGAAAAGAACTTGAGAGTAGTGAAAGCAGAACTGGAAGTTAACAATTTGCTTGAGAAGGTTGCTTATGAGGAAGAATCAATCTTACATTTGAAACAAGAATCAGAGCAGCTTCGAGCGTCATTAGAGGCAAAGAAGTTGGAAACTGAAGATGTGACGGAAAAATTGAGGTCCATGAAAAGCATAATTGGAGAGCTTGAGTTTGAGAAAGGAATTTTGCTCCAAGATATCACAAAGTTATCAACTGAAAGGGAGGGTATGCTAGCTCATATTGAAGACATGTGTGAGAGGATTGGGGAATTATCTGGTAAGGATCTGCAATTGATGAAGACTCTTGACGAGATGCTGAATACTACTGCAGATGGAGATCATTGGTCAACGGATCTTGTTGACTTTGACAAGCTGCATGTTGCTACTGTAAATAGAGCAAATCGTACTTTTTCTGCCACGACTAAGAAACACGAAGCAAATTTTGATGGGCGAGCTCCTCTGAGAGAGGTTAAGAATTTGCACGTGTAGATCGGGGAAGAAGTCTGAACTCAAGCAGAAGAAATGCGGTCAAGGTAAATAAATAGATATTCATTTTCTGATTTAATGCTCTTACCATTGGCCTGTGCTTTTATACATATGCTCTCAAAAACTGTGTTTTGAAGAATCCTTAGTATCAGGAGAAGTTAAAACTTCAAACTCAATGTTAAATGGTAAACAAAACTCATAATAACGTTTTATTCTTCAACATTATTCCATAACTTGCTCATGATAGCTTCTTTACCCATAATCTTATCAAAAACAAGAGCCATGAGTATGTAATTTTGTAGCCATGTGATACAAGTGACCTAAACGTATGTGGGAAGAAGTTCCTAGGATATATATGAATGGTCAAAATTCTAAACCTAAAGCTGGACTAGTTACCCGGCCGGAAAAAGAAAGGTGGGATTGGTCAACGTAAAGCTGTAGCCATTTGACGACTTGATGCATCTGTATAATTCCCTGAATTAATTGACTTATCTCTTCTGCTTGAAATTATTGGAAGCGATCTTTTGGTTAACAATATTTTTAGAGATTTGGTTGTTGACAGAATATAATAGTGTCGCGTAATTCATGTACCTAGTAGGATGAGATTTATCATCGTTGTATCCCTCTGAAATTGTTGCTATATCTAGTAGTTTCATGTCAGTGCTACACCTTTTGTTCTGCTTGATAAGTCATCTAAGATTCTTCCTTTTTTTTTTTTGGAAACGTGCAGGATTTGGTCGGGTATCGAGCAAGCTAAATCACTGTATCTAAACCTCTGTTGGGAGCTCCAAAAACCAGCATTATTAGATATGGAGAAGTGGGGGAAAAAACATTGTCTAATGCTTGTTTCAGTAACTACCACATGTTTTACAGAACATAAGTTGAGTGATCAAGTTTATCCACAGATTTGTGTGGTGTGGGTGAGCCCTTTCATAGTTTTGATGTATGAACCAAATCCGTAGGAATCACTGACCGTTGTTCCAAAAATAGTTTACATTGAAGAATGAAGGAGCCATTGTTTGCTGATTGTACTTTGTGATGTGTTTATGTGATGACGCTCATCACAATTGTAGGGTTGGTTTCTCTCCCACTCCTAATTTTTTCACTATTAGATCTCAATTTCAACGGTTAAGATTTAGTATATAATTTTAAAGTTAAATAATAAATAAATTTAAACTACTAAATTTTATAACATATTATTTAATATTATTTGTATAAATAAATTTATTATTTAACATTATAATATTAATTTTATAATATAAGATAAACGAGTAAGTTGGTTCTTAAATTATTGGTCCAGGGGCATACTCTTAAAAATGATGTAATATTTTCTTTTAATTTTTAAAAACAGTGTAATTTAATTTTTACTATTAATAAAGTCAATTTTAATTATTAATTAATTAAAATGATAGAAAAAGGCATTAAAAATTATAAAAGGGACTAATAAGATTTTTAGGACATTTTTAATAATTTTTTAGTTATTATTTGTAATTTTTGGGTTATGTACCATAATTTTTTGTTCCTTTTTTGTATTTTTTATTCTTTGAGCAGTTACTGTTCAAAGTTAACTTTTGTCAATAATAAAATTAAATTACATCATTTTTTAGAATCTTAGACATTTTTGGATCTATAATTTAAAGGTCAATTTACTCTTTTATTTTATAATATATTAGATCTTAACCATTGAAGGTTAGATCCAATGGTAAGAAAGTTTGGCGTAGGGTAGGATGCAAGCAGCTAACTCCCAAATTTTAACCCCCCCGGCAAAACTTATGGGACAACCAACTTCTACGGATTTGCCAAATTGTTGATGTTACGAGATTGTACCATGTACTTCACTTTCAGGTACTTTTTTATATTAGTATTAGCTGAAAAGGTTGATTTTTTTTCCCTCTTTTTGCTGCAAAGGTTGCATTTGAAAGAAAGTTTGACATTCCTGTACATCTGATAGTTCAGTTCCAACCTTCCAGCTCTTGTTCAAAAGTGAAATCAGCCCCTACCCAGCGGAAAGGCATCTCCAGATACTAATGTTCAAGCTTTCAGATCTTACGGTCTTGGATGAAGTCAGGCATCATAATAATGCAACAACTTCAACTCTCTGAGCAGATATCTATTCACCAACTGGAAAGTTTCAATCCTGCAGGTTTGCATGCTCAGTCAGAACTCACAGGGCAGCTGGCATAACCTAATTCACCAGTCCATCCCTTAAACTCTAGTTGGCATGTTTCAAATAAATAAGTGGGATATTTGAACTTTTGGTCCCTCAAATTTACCTTACCAATTTGGTCCTTGATGTTTAATCTTTATAAGTCAAGTCCTTAAAATTTCAAAACTATACACAACAACAATAATAAACTTTATTTCATTAGGTGAAGTCAACTATATAAATTGTACGATATCATTACACTTCATCATTTACCGAACATTTAAGAATGTTATTAACTAAAATGACTCAATCAACAATTTTCATAGGTGTTCTGTTTAGCTTTCCTCTATAGGGAATACTTCCATAAGTGTTCAAAACTATACACAATTAGTCATTTTAGTTTGAAGGTGAAATAACGTTATGAAGACTATTTATGTATAGTTATGAAGCTTTAAAGACTTTACTGATAAAGATTAAATTTGAAGGATCAAATCAATAATTAAAGCACACTTAATAAACTAGAAGTTTTAGCATGCCTAAATAAATAAAAGAACTGATTACAACTGATAACAGAGGTGATGGTGCATGAGAATGCCGACCACATGGACTCACCTCCATAGAATATACGAAATACTTTGAGGTCATCAATTACTATGTTGTCTACACAGGAGTTCATTAGAATTTGCTGATTATATGCATCATTGCTGGGAATATCTAGCTCATGCTTTGATAATTGATGCTTCAGAATTTCATAATTCATTCAAATAAGATTTACATTTAAACTTGTAATCAAGAATAGTCCAAGTATTCCCTATTTTATGGGAGTAATTGACACTAAATTTGATAAACTAACAATAACAACGTTTTAAACAGAATGCAGAGAAATTTCAATTAAATATTCAATTTCATACATCACTGTTGGATGTATCTGCTTTCTTGGAGTACTTAGTCAACCACTTCTGCTTGTTCTTCTCTGATGCATTCCGGTTTTGAGAAAATCGTGCAAGCCCCTCTCTCAATGCTCCTAGATTCACTCCATTTCCAACCAAAATGCTTGTTACTCCCATTTTTGAGACCTGAAAGTGCCGTTTCCCACTATCAAACATGTAATATATGTATGGAACTCTTTCCACCTAAAGAAGATGAGCAAATAGCGATTCTATAATGTAAAAATGAAGAAAAATGATCAGGAAACATGAAAAGAAAAATGAAAGAATGGTTTCTACCGCTTGGATGTTCCTATTCTCGTCATCAAAGAATAGCATAGAATTAAATGGAACCCCAGTCCTCGAATGAATTCTTTGAAAGTGATCCGTTTTGTGTGTCCAACTTGAAAATATTTCCTAAACAATGGGAGGAAAAACAAATTAAAATTGATAAACACATATATGTCATTACAACCATTTATAGATTCCATTTTGATCAGGAAACAATCTTCTGTTTTTTGTTTCCTCCTTCTTTTTGGGTGTCAAAACATATTCTCTGCGAGGTCAAGAACCTATAGAAGATAATCATTTTCAGCTTTCACACTTACCTCCTCCTTCAGAAGCCAGAGCTCAACACTGCTTTTTTTTTTTTCTCAATGCGTCAGAGATGAGGATGATATATCAACGAACAGAACAGGTAAAAGAAAGATTAGAGTATGGTTCAATGAACACACCTGAGCAACAAACATTGACTTGATGCTCAATTTATCAAGAAATGTTCTTGCTATATCAGCAGTTGGTGATCTAGAAGCAATGGCAACATCAATTCCTTTATCTTTGAGTGCATATAGGATTCCTTTGGCTTGAGGATACAGAGATGGCATTTCACGCTTGGAGCGACACTCACTGAAATTTGGCTTGACGTAAGACTTAGTAACTGAATTGAGTATTAAAATTTCAAAGCTTTTGCAGGAGAAGCATCTCAAGTTATACTGATCCAGAAGCTCACCTTTTCACATTCTAGAGGATGTAATTTCCTTACATCATGAACATATAATAGGGTAAATCAATGGTTTGGCTTTAAATTAATATTGCCCCTGTGATCTGAAGAAAGTGATTCAGCCTTTGTAGTTTGTTCTGTTCACCTCTTTACCTCTAAATGGTATTTTTTTTTTGGGTACAAAACTAGATGAGAATAAAAGTATGAATGTTAAAAAGATGAGAAATTTATATTGTTCTCAAGTTATTTGTAGGGAAAACAAACAAAACCAATAGTAAAAAATAGAGTTTTGAAGGCAACATTTTCAATTTTCATAAGTCAACTTAATCTAAAAAACTTCAGACATTGTAAAACGATATGAGGTATAAATGAAATAAAGTTTTCTACAATGAAATCTTCATCAATTTAATATCAATAAGATTATTATATCAACATTTAGATGAAAAATACCATAAATTATGGAAGTCATATAAGAACCAGCCATAAGCACCACAGAAGATAAACTGAAATCAAGGCCACATCAAGATGATTGACTGTAATAGTGAAATTTATCCAAGAATTAAAACTTTACTGAACCACGGATTTTGTCACAGGGCAAAGAAAGTTGAGCTTGGTCCAGTGGCCAAACACAAACAAAAAAATTAAGACAGAGAAACCATTAAGAATCCAAAGAATATGACACTTCAACCCGGTTTGCAAGCAAGTTCAATCATATTTTGTGATGAAGTAATGTCAAATCAAATCATCCACAGAAACTTTTGTCATTTTAGTTCATATAAAGTTTTAAAAAACTAAAGCTCCTCAATCTAATCCACTGATGAAGCATTTCCTGGGAAGTACAACACGAAACTTTCTCCCTAAAATAAAAACATGTATCTCAGAAAATAGGGGAGTAACACTAGATTCAACCAAACAACAAAAGTAAAAAAAAGAAAGAAAGAAAGAAAGTTGGGCGCTTTTCGTACGAATTCGAAGCAATTTGGCGAGACCAATCAAAATCAATGGCAATGAAGAAATGAATGGTATAGTTAACGAAGTTAGACGGAATCGTGTTTTGAAGAAAGGAAACGAAAGAAGAGAGAGGACGTAAGAGTACCAGTAGAAAGGCCAGAGAGTGTAATCGAGGTCGAAGACAACAAGTCGTGGGAGAACTTGAAAGACTCCGATTATCTGAAGTGCCTCCGTCTTCACTCGCTCGTCTCCCATCTTCTCAGGAATTGAATTCCGATGGTCGATGGTCGTTTAATATTCTCGCAGGAGGTTCGATGCAATATTCAAGATATTAATATATTAATATAATAATAATACAAATATAAAATATATAGATTAACGGATTAACCCACCAAAATTTTGTTGGAAGTGAAAGTATTGATCTCACTATTTAGTTAATAAATTAATTAATAATATTTTAAGTGAAAGTATTGACATCTCATTATATTTTTTTTTGGAGAATAACAAATAAGTTCTAAAAAAATTAATTAATTTAAATTAAATTTTAAAGTGTTAAATTTTAAAAATTTATAAGTTCAATTCTCAATTTTATAATTTTATTTTAATAAATTTATAACTTGTATTTTAAATAAATTTATTAAAAAAATTATAAAATTGAGAGTTGAATTTATAAATTTCTTAAATTTGATACTTTAGTTGGATTAATTGATCCCAAACATTCTCCCCTTTTTTTAAAAATAATTTAACAATAAAAATCCTTTCTTTTGTATGAAATGTAAATTATTTCCAATGAATAAAAATTGTTTGTGATCAATGGCCTATTGGAATGCTACTTCATTAATAATGAAAAAAATCCATCCAAGACTCCAAGTGGACTATCATGTGAAACTTAAAGAAGAAGAAGAAGAAGAAGCCTTTTTTTACCACATTAAAAAAAAAACCTTAATAATAACTTACCCTCTATTTAGTTAGGAGGGATGGAAGGAAGTGGAGGGAGGGAAAGAGATTTTAATGAATTTTTATTAGAAAAAATAAATTAGTGAGAATAAATAATTTTGATAAAAAAATATATAAATTAAAAGAGTTGAGTCTGCTCCACTGGAGGACATTAAGGGTTTGTTTAGTTTTATTCTCATTTTTTAATTTTAAAAAACTATTTCATAAATGAATTTTTAAAAACTTTTTTTAAACAAAATACAAAGAAAATCTATAGAATTATGTTAACATGAAAAAAATTTGAGTTAAAATATTGGTGGACAATAATGGTTGCCAGTAATAAATAATAGCAACCTATGGGAGTGGCCAAGTTTGCAATAGTCAAATGTAATGTGTTTTAAAAATAGAATTAAGGTTCATTTTTATTTTTAGATTTTTTCCAAAAAAGGTTGGGCATTTTGAACTAATAATTGAAGCAATTTTCTCCCATATTACTTTAAGGGATCTAATTAATATTAATTTTCTTATAAGATTATTTTTTGTAATTCATTTATAAATATTATCTTGATTATTCACAAATTTTTACACACAATTTAGAAGTTATTTATAAATTTTTAAAAAGCTAATTTGAGCTATTAATATTTAAAAAATAAATTATACATTTTAGATGAAGATTTATAAATAATAATATTTAAAATATTAAATATTAAAATAGTCTATATTTTTACAATATTTATTAAATTTTATTTTAATAAAATTTTAGGATTTGAGAATTGTTTTCTAAACATTCACAAAGCAGAGAGCTGTGTCATAACGATTTGAGAATCTCTTTTTTTTAGGCGTTCTCTTCCTTTTATTTGTCATAAGCTCATATGCATAAAACCGATATAAATTAATTCCATAGACTGAATTATTACAAAGAAATATTAGTATTTGAGTAATCTAAGTTCATATAATTTTATTTTATTATTTATTTTCATTTCGTCAATGGTTGAATTTAATGAATGGATGAAAAGGAAATCCATTATATATAACATCTTTTTAATCACATAGTGCTCTTGCAAAAAAAAAAAAATTCAAGGTAAATTAACATCAAAAGACATGGTTAGAATCTATTATGTCATTGTGCATAAGCTCCATACATATGCCATGAAAAAAAATGTTAAGTTAACAGGAAATTAATGAAAGAAGTTTTTTGCTTATCGAAAAAATAGTTTAGGAAGAAAATTATCCCACTCATTAGTACAAGATGCCTAATGCTTCTTGGAAAAAAAAAAGGTAAAAATGAACTTTAACCTTTGGAAATAAAAAAAGAAAATGAAAACAACTCTAATATATTTTCATCTTTTTTGTTTTTTTAAAAAAATGAAAATAGTTTTAAAAACATTTAGATCCAAAATACTTACTCAAACAAGTTTTTTATTTAAAAAAAAAAATCAGATTTTAAAAACAGAAATCAAACATGCTCTAATATTCAAGTCCCTGTTTCTGGTTGTAAACTCCAGCCTCTTGAATGTGAAACTCCCAACAAAGCCACATTTTACTTCAGTTAAATTCTTCCATGGTTACCACTTCCAAAAGATGCAGTGAATGCAATTTTTGCATATAGATCACTTAATAAATTTAGGTTATTGCATTACTTGGGCCCACAAATAAAATGTAATTCCTACAATTAGGACATTCATCCCAGCAAACAAGTAGGAGACCTAGTTAAAAGAATGAGTATATATGAGTTATTCACTTTCCATTAGAATATCTAAGAAAGAATCACGAAATAAACATATGAAATAAATTTTTTCTTTTTTTAACTTAGGCAAGTCTATAGGAACATTTTTATTCAGCTGCAGCACTTGCAGCACTCAAATCCACAGAAAGATCAACAGCCTGAAACAAACAAACAAACAAGAAACTGATGTGAGAAAATGAGGCATTGGATTGCTTGTTAGTAGATAATTTGTACGGCATTTTCTTGAGAAGGATAAAATGCTATAGCATATCATAACATTATAAAAATGGTCTAAATTTACACGATTCTTCATTCTTGTAAATAATCATAAACATGCCTTTTTCAGCCATGTGCATGAAGAACAAGGTATTTCATCATTGAATAAAAAATCTTGATTTATTGTCAAAAAATTGTATAATAGTACACTAAACAGAACAAAAAGGAAACTAATCCAACAATGCACAGAATGATTTTTTTTTTTCCAAATCAAAAGGTAAGATTGTTGGTCAAAAAAGAAATCGAAAGGTAAGATTTACCAAAAGATGTTCTGAGACCATGCTTAGAAATGATGTGATATGAGAGAGAAGAGAATAATAACAGAGATACCTCCACAAAACCAAGTGTTTTGTATGCTAGAAAAGCTATCTCATTGAGCTATACTGCCATGTATTTATATATATATATATATATATATTCACCAAGTGCTTCAGATCTTGCTAAACTGACATAACTAATATCATGATTCTAACAAACTAAAATGTGGAATGCTGAATGGACTAATATTTGTAACGTGTCGTATTCATTATAAAGGTTGTTTCTAATCTCTACTCCTAAAGGCTGCATAAATTGTAGTTGCGATTTGAAGAAAAATGCAATTTCATATAATATCAAACAATAGATAATTACCTTTCCAGTGATCTTACTGTACAGGGTAAGCACATCTTTTACCGTAGACTCAAAGTGGGTAGTGGAATCATAGCTCTACAATCAATGTAATGTCCAGTCAGTAAAGCTGATCTTTGCAGATAAAATGCATAAATTTCGTAACGTAGAGGGAGAAAGATGATAAAATTTTACATCCTCTACGATGGTAATAAACCATAGACAAACATAACCTTACTTATTTGAAAATAAGAGGTAGCTGTAGATTTATACTAAAAGTCAGAAGGATACTTGGTTGTGTCTAGACTTGAACCATTTAGCTCCAAAGATTTTATTTATTTATATTTTTTTTATAATCAAAGTGGTATTTGACATGGTATCCCAGTCCAACAAGTCAAACAGGCAAATTTGTAATGGCATGGCATGCCATTTTCGACATGAACCCCAATTCTAGCTTCCTTTCACAAGGGATAAGGAAAAGAAAGAAGGTGAAAAAAAAAATAAAATAAAATAATTCAGATAGATTATACTTACAGTAGAGATGTAGCAACCATCAGCTTCACAGTCGTTCACTGGTTCATATACATCATAAGTGTCGTAGAATATCTCATCTACAGGTCCAAGAAGGTCAATTCCAGGCTTCAATTCCACCTCAGGCTGCTCAGTCTCTGCTTCTGTTGAAACAAAAGCAATATATTTTCCTTTTGCTGCTACGTTATGAGCATAAGAGCAGCAAAAAAGATACCTGCAATAACCATGGATAACAAGAACAAGTTCCTTAAAAGATAGAATCAGAAATTTACAACTAGAAGTCCATTATTTACTCACATCAACGTTTGTGATTTGTCATTTCTGAAAAATTGATAACATAATGTATCATCATTCACATTTTAATTTTAGAGGTTTCACTGTCCCACTCCATCACAGTTGTCCTTCTTTGGAGATAAAGACCAGTCCTTTATCTTCACTTTTCTTTTCCTTTACAACTTGAAAATTTGACGTTCATTTTGCAGTTAGCATATTTTCATGTATTAAATAGCAGCAGTCATCAATTTCCAAATACTAGATATTTTATACTTAAGAAGGCCATGGTTTGTCCTTTCATTTGCGATTTGCAGAAAAAGAAATCAATGAAGGCTAGGATTTGTCCTTACATATCTGATTTACGACCAAGTTGCTGTTGTGGCAGAATGACCTGCGCTGAGTGAGAATCATTGGTATCTGGAATAGGATGGCTCATGATACATATGGCACGTGAAACTTTTCCAACCTTTTTGACCTATTAGTCAATTAAATATTGGCAGATGAAGATTTAACTCGTTATTAGACATAGAAATCATTTATACTACTTGCTAGTTAAAAGCCATGTTTAACTTGCATTTGTAATCACTAAATAAACATATAAGAGAAGCTAATAATCTAGATACCGTTAAGAAATCTAACATGATACCTTATCAGGTAGATATGATGGATCACACACAACTTTCTTGCATTTAGCTGTTTCTCCTTCAGAGGTCACACCAATGGCTTTTCCATTATCATCAAACTCAACCTGCTCAGTAGAAAATAAAAATGTGAAAAGAAATAAACAGGGAAAAAACTTGAGCTGACTTAAATTACTTGTAAATGACAAGTTAGAGAAGAAATATCCTTATTATTTAAGTTAATTTCTTGATAACAGCGGTTCCTCATTATGAACTTGAGTAGTCAATTCGTTATCTTTCTGTTATAAAGAATGTAGCAGATTCAGATACTCTAGATGGAAACCTAAAAATTTATTCTTCACTTTGTAAGTATTAGAACTCCAAAAGGTTAAGAGGATGTAAACTATACATCGACACAAGAATATCACCATTTGCGTGTCAGAGAATCAGAGAGAGCAAGAGAGGTAAGCAGGTATCTTTGTTGTGTACATCAGCACAAGAAACAAAACTAGAATGAGGGAATAAGTTATGACAAAGGAGTGGGAGATAGAAAAAGATGGACTTTGAAAACTTTAGTGACTTATGAGCCAATCACATTGCAATATCCATTAAGCTGAGATAAATTGTAACCCTTAGACACAGTAAGAAATAAGAATGTTCCTTTGGACATAAGAGGAAAATACTTTGCAAGTAAATCAGATAAAGTTTTTCATCTTTTTTTTTTTAAATCATTAAAAACTTGGAAGCCTAATGGAGATTTTAAAGTAGAAAAGAATCAAGATATAAGCTTCTAACCACTTTTTGTAGCAATTCAAATAATCTTCCTGAATGCTGAAGCATGATTATAGATTTACCTTGCATTCTGGTTTGTTGAGCATGTAAGTTCCACCATATACTGCACTTAAACGTGCAAATGCCTGTTTGCCATTAAAGAGATGAAGGCTAGCTCTAGGTGTAAAAAAACTTCAGAGGATAGAGAGACGTGGAAAACCTGAGGCAATTCTCCCAGTCCATATAATGGATATATGTAAGGTGAACCTCCTTGAAAACGTGCTAGGGACTCTGCATAAAGCTAGATAAAATCGAAAGTTGTATTACTTGCTTATGTAGGTTACCAAGTGATTCCATCTACATAAACATACTAGAATCAGTAAAAGGTATAAGCCAGAAGATCCCATGAAGGAAAGATAGAGGAAGCCTGAAGAATCAACGTTATAACATTTGGTATATTCAACAGTCATGGAATAAAAAGGTCCACAAGAATATGTCAGTGCAAAGCAAACGCAAAAAAAAAAAAATAATAATAAATAAATAAATAATAAAAAAGTGTAGTCGTCATCTTACAATATTCTTCGTAGTATCACAAGAAAGAAAAAGAAAGCATTTTATGCCAAATGACTGTATGGTCCATAACCTTGTGCTTTACCCCTTAAGAGTCAAGTTAAAGGTAGACATAATGATATCTTAATGACCATTTTTTATGTTGAATCGTAGCAAATGGAGAAACGCTTTAATGAAGTATTATCCAAATCTTCTTTTATCAATGCCATTGTTTCTCTAAGCATAACGTGTTGGGAATTCAGCTTTTCGTATAAAAGAATTTTTTTGCCTTCACTTTCAGGATGCTTCAGTATTACCAAGAAATATTCATCATTTGTGAGCTGTGATGACAACAACCGAAAACATAATATGTTTAACAGAGAACAGACTGGACTAGGTTCATCTAATAGTAACAGTTCTATTCATTGTGCATTAACAGACAACAAAGAGAAGTCTTGAAAGTCCTAGAATTTTTAGTCGTTCAAGGATTTAAATTATATTTTGCATTGCAATGTTAAGGGGCCTCCGCAATATCAGGGCCCAAACTACTTGAACAAGATTAGGTCCGCACATGAGGGTGGTGGGGATCTAGGAAAGTGTGCAATATAGAAAGAATGATTGATATTTTGATACTGTATCATAATCTAATCTAAATATCTATGACCCATATGATTTTCCAGTTCTATGTTTTGATTCTACTCCTGGTAAGAGTGCACAGTTTTGAGTGACTGGCTTTGAATATATATATATATATATATATTTGGATACAATTATCCATTATTCATGGGAAGAGCCAAGTAGGGTCATATTGGTGGCAAAGCTCTCGTAACGAATATTTAACACAGCTGCACATAATGAATATCCAAGACTCAAACTCGAGACTGCTGGTTAAGCTGACACAATTCCTTACCAATTGAGCCATGTGCTCATTGGTGGCTTTGAATATTTTTGATATATTGGCGGCACACAATGATGAATCTAATAGAGGAATTTCTTATGCATCATAACACAAAACAAGCATAGGAAGATAATTTGTATAGCTTATACCTTTATTCTTTCTACGAACTCCTTGGCTGGCTGATCCAAGTAACTATCATCTCTATGAAGTGCCAATGCATGACCAATAAAATCAATTGTATCATCTTCCAACCCATATTTCCTACATTTTGAAGAACCATTCAAAATTTTAAACGCGACTTGAATCAAAGAATTATACTGTATTCAAATAATTTCTAACTAGAAATATCTTGTCGCCTTCAACACCAATGAGAGCCAAAACAACGGCCAACTACTTCAACAACAACAACAACAACAACAAGCCTTTATCCCACTAGGTGGGGTCGGCTACATGGATTGCAAGACGCCATTGTGCTCTATCATTTATTAAGCTTTTAGAAATATTATTAATTAAGAGATCACGTTCAACAACTTCCAAGAGTGTTCTCTTAGGCCTTCCTCTACCTCTCTTAATCGGACTCAAAGTTATATGTTCCACTCTTCTCACCGGTGCCTCCCTTGGTCTTCTTTGTACATGCCCAAACCATCTCAACCGATTTTCTACCATTTTTCCTCAATAGGTGCCACCCTCACTTTTTCACGTATGTGCTCATTTCGAATTTTATCTTTACGTGTATGTCCGCACATCCATCGTAACATTCTCATCTCTGCTACTCCAACTTTATGCTCTTGCTGTCCCGTTAGAGCCTAGCATTCAATATTAAATTTTGTCAAACAGTGATTGAATTGAAAATGTAAAAGCTGTAAATCCAATGTTTATATTGATATAGTATTTTATTTGTTTGGTTGGTCCTATATCATTATATTCCGCAGTAATGATTGATCAATTAAGAAAAACTTTAAGTTTAATGAAGAAATGAACATTTCCAAATCTAGTAGATGATACGTCTTCACCTGGTTGTGGGTTCTTTTAATGACAAAACTTTTCCATTTTGAATTTGATGTGCATAGGTGATAGTCCTATGCTTATGTAAAAAGGATATTTTGAATTTGAAGGAAATGAAATGGAAGTGGATACATACGAAATAAGCTGCCTTGCTGTAACTTCGTTCAAATCTAGCCCTTCATGAGATTTTGGATCACTTTCTTCATAATCTTGTACATAAATGAAGAACTTTCGAGCACGGCGCTTCTCAAACAGCCCCATCAATGGTGATTTCAGTGCTTCAACATCTGTGGCTGGAACTTTGTAAATCTAGAAGGTAAAGTATTCTATCATAATATTTTACTCTGAAATGCAAGAGGTTCTATGAATGTAACATTTCCAATATGAAAAGTACAAATCATGCATATTAGACTAGAAAATGAGTTAGATAAGGAATATCATACAAACCTTTCCCTTATTATACACAAAACTGCCATCTACAGCTTTAAAATTCAAATATTTTGTAACATCAGTGTGGATTAGTACACGAACCAAAAGTCCGTTGGCCATTGTGAACTACAAAAAGCAGATAGAAAAAGATTCATCTTATAGTAGAATGAATAGCTTGTCTTATATAAGACAAAAACTCATTTAGAAGCATGGAAATTGATACCTTAGGTATCATGTCAACGTTATACTCTCTACTTGAGCCCAGGTTCTCTGGTGGCTGGTCATCTCCTCTAAACCGCTTCCATAACTACATAATAGAAAAAGTAAAGATCTAAAAGAGAGAGAAGAAAAATTTGATTAACAACTAGATAAATCCTATGCCTCTAAGTAAATATAAACATCATGGGACAGGAACCTGTGTAAGATTAAGAGATGTAGACTCTCCACCATAGTAATCATTTCTGTCCATATGCAATACCTATTTCAAGTGCATAGAGTTAAAGGAATAAGGCAATGTGTGTGTGCAAAGGTGGTCATAAGAATAGCTAAGACTAATTCCGAGGGTATCTTATGGGAATGATGCTGCAATAGCAACTCAACATATGTTCATGATCTTCTGGTTCACATGATATCATTAGATAAAGACCAGATATCTCTCTTAGTAATAGTTTCATCAATATGGTTGAAAAAGGAGTTACGGTTTAAAGTGGATAGGGTTAAAGAGAGAAGGTAGAAAATGAGATGATTCTACGCTAGCTTGATAAAACGATGATAAAAAAAAAAAAAAAATTTAAATGAAATGCCTTTTCATGTTGAAGTGAATAAAAAGTGAAAATCCAACGAAAGTAGCTTAAACAGATGATCATTGTGCTTTTTGCCCTCCTTTTCAACTATATATGCCCGACATCTTATTTGGATCCCATTAATTTCTTAAGAAATTTTGACAATGTCAACTTTTGCAGGAGAAAGACACATTATGTTTGGAACTCATTCACGCTGTGAAATCTTCATCATTCTTGGTGAATCTTGCGCACAATGAGTCAGTTTAGTCTCAGTAAGAATTTAGTCAGATGAAAATTCAAATTTCCTAATCATCCCCATTTTCACCCCCCCCCCCATTTTGTTGCCAATCTCCTACCAATCAAATGCTTAATCGAGCAAAAACTCAAATTTAACAGAACAAGCATGAAACAAGCAATCTTCAAATGAAGAAAGAAAGTGGGAAAAAAAAAATCGCTGACTTTGAGACCATCAACTGAGAGAAGGCCACTGAGGATGCATTCCTTGAGGCCTGTACCGAGGACAATCACATCATACTCTTCATCCATGGCAATTCAACTTCAGATGAATTAAGAACGTGGTGAGAAAAGAAGAGAAAGAAATAGCGCTGTTTAGACCGAGAGGTCCAAAAATGAGCGAGATTAGACACGGGCGATTTCGATTTGCGATTTCGATTTGCGATTTCTGTTTATATGAGAATTGGAGCAGGTCTTTCGCGGGAAGTAACGAGACTTACGCTAACTACATAACTGCTCGCTTCAAAGAATTTGGAGGGTGTGCTGCACGCGCTTTCTTCTTTTACATCCTCGCTATAGAGTTTGATTTTGATGGAAGAACATTCCTTCTCTTTGGTCTAAAAAAATAATATCTCATAATACAATGAGTTAAAATTTAAATTCTCATTAAAAGATATACTAATTACTTGTATCTTAAATAAAATTGCTTTTAAAATGAGAATACATGTGCACAATAAAAAAAAAGGCAATTCAAAATGATGGTAGAAATTCAAAACTTTGAAGAAAAAAAAAACAGAGAGACATGATATTAAAGAATTAAATGAATGAATTAAACTTGAATAAGGATTAAAAGATTATAAAATCTATAATAATGACTGAAGGTCTTTTACTAAATTGGTCTAAAAATTTGCTACTCTCATTTCATGATTTGTAACTCTGAAAACAAAAATTTATTAATGAGATTTATTAATTTGTAAAAGAAAAAGCATGTCAAATATATCATTACTTAACATTGTTTTCCTTAACAAATTAATGAATCTTAATTGCAAATTAATATTTTAAAAGTTACAAATTAGAGTATAAGAGTAATAAATTACTGAAGAAGTGATATGTTTAATAAGTTTTTTTATTTATAGATTAGCAATTTTTACTTGTAAATTCTTACTTTGATGTTACAAATTATATAACAAATTTTTAGACTGGTTCATTGAAAGATTTTTGTCTTTGTTTCTAGTTTCTAAATCTTTTGATTACTATTTAGGTTTAATTCAATATTTTGGTCATAATATGATATAAACAAGAACTCATGTATAACTGGAAAGCTAAGGACTAAAGTATAGGATATTATGGTAAAGATTATTGTAACTTTGTATGTTAGAAAGATAAGATGATCTTGTTAGAAAGTTGGTAAATGTTCTGAAAACTTGAACGTTGATGCTAAGTGATGTATAGATGATAAGTTATTGATTGGTGTGCATGTGTTATGTTAGTTTGATGATTGAATAGGTGTGGCTTTTTTTTATTGAGAAAAATTTATATACTTAACTTTATATGCTTAATGTACTTGTTTTCAATTAAATCAAGGCAATATATCTATGTCTATGATAGATTATTTATTCTATAAAAAATTCTTGTTATTAATATTATTAACATATTTAAGTTTATATGTCTTAATTTAATTAGATGAAAATATATTAAGTATATAAGGGTAAATACATAAGTCTTGTGATTTTTTATTTTCTTCTTCTTTTATGGGCATACTTGAATAGCTTCTTTACTTTTTTTATGCTTTGCATTTTGTACAATTTTAGAAAATTGTTTTACCATTTTAGCCCCAAGCTCACCTGGGAAAAGGAAGCAAATAAAATTATTTGAATAATCTTTTTTTTTAAATCATATTTAGGAAAATAAATTTGAAGGGAAAATAATTTGGAAAATTAATTTGAAGCTAGGTTTTAAATAAATACTATTGTATATGATAGTAAGCATTGGCATTTAGTGGCTAATAACAATTTGCGATCATTATTGATGATTGACAATAACCTGTAATGGTTCATAATTATTTACAATGCGTGGTATCAGGTGTTGATTGATCATGAATAGTTATGACCTTTAATATTGATTCGTAGTGATCAATAGTGATTAGCGATAACCTACATTTGATAGTATTTTTTTAAAATGTGTCTTCCAAAATCAATCAAAATGGAAACAACTTTTGACAGCAAGTTAATAAAAAATGTATATCCAAAATAGTTTTATGGAAAGGAAAAAAAATCAGAGAGGGAGTGTAGTGTTTTGAGTTTCTTTGTCTGCAAGGAAAGGTTGTAGATGTAATCTTTATATTAAGTTTTGATTGATAAATAATAAATAATAAATTAGTAACAAAATTGATTTACTTTTCTCTAAAATTGTACTTAAAAACCAAAAATTTAAAAACTTAAAAAATCAAATTTCAAATTATAAATTAAAAAATGTTTAATTACCCAAAATCTCTTCTTGGTACATGAAGAAGGACTAGCATCCCCAACCACGTCTCTCTCCATTCACTGCTAGGGTGGCCCAGAGGAGAAAGTAGAGCACAAGGGTGTCGGTGATGATAGCAGTGACGTAGGTAGTGTCTTGTGTAATACCCGCCTTGACATTACCAGGACAACATTTTCACAACAATTGTGATGACTAGGATTAATTAAAATCTTTATGAAATGTCATTACAATCCAAGGGTTTAGAAAATAATTTAAAATATTAGGATTATAAGAAAACCCTTTTTGAAAAGTTGTTTGAGCTTAAACCATAGTTTAAAATAAGGTATAAGATAATAGATGCATGAAAACTAAAAAACAACTCTGAAAAACACAAATGGTTAGCCCTGTTTGTCATGGTGCAGGCCTTATCCACCGTGGCGGATGACACAGAGGGAGTATGTCCCTCTTTATGCATTGTGTCGCGGCATGACTGTCATGCATCACGATGCGCACCTCCTGTCATGACAGCACTTCGAACCAACTTCTAAAGTACATCATTTTTCCATCTGATGCCTAATTTGTATGGTTCAAGCGTCCACATGTAACCTTTCAAGCCCTTTAGCTATTGGCACTAGTCTTACACCTAAATATTCAACCATTTAAAAGTTAGACATCTAAACCCAAAATGGTTTGTTTTTAACCAATAACACACACATGGATGTCCAAAACTCACAACTTGATACCAATTGTAACATCATAAATTTTAACCCTTGATTAACTAAGCTTAATTATGATAACTAAGTAAATTGTAGTGGTGTGCGGCTGAGAGATTTAACGGGTGTATTTGATTGTGATTTCAATCGTAAAAGCTGGCCCGAAGAAGAATTGAGTCACCTAGATGTGAAATGAGGAAGAAAAGTGAAGAGGAAAGATTCTGTGCCATGCGTTGTGGCTTGTGGGCTAAGCCACTGTGGTGCATGTGTGTTGACACGCTTAGGGAGGCCCTCTTTGTGCCATGCGCTATGACACATTATGCGTTCGTCAGGATATATGGCCATTTTATGCAAATTAAGAGTTGTGAACTGGGACTAAAATAGAAAAAAGAGAAAGGATAAAACGAAAAGGATAAGTTATGATTTGCTAGGGGTTCATCATTGAAGGATATTTGGGACATTTTAAAGCTACTAAACACTTAAAGTAAGTACCCTATGTTGAAAATTATGTCTTAGAGCCAATCATTATACTATGCACATTGTTATTTAATGAATTTCTCTTTTATTATTATATCAATTGCATGTTCACCATAATAACTGTATTCTTGGACAAACTATAGTGATTGTCCTAAATATCCCTGATCAGTCATCTACGAGGGATCATAGATGAAACAAGCCTAGTATGATTTTGATTAATTATAGAGATATAAATCAAAGTTATAGGCACTTGAAAGAGTATAAGGTGCTGGACTAACCCGCTATGAAAAAGTTATATGATACAAGTCATAAGCTTATTTCATATATAATTATATCATTAAGCCCTTTGACCTCAGATCATCATGGATTCTTATATGATGACCATTGAACTTTGACCTAGTCAAAAATCACCTTTGACTAGGTGATCATAAAGGGTATGATTGAGTTCAGTGATATTCATGTAGAGGAATACAAGTGGTCAAGATAGAATTTGTCTCTCACATTAAGTGAGAGATATTGCTGGGTCCCTCAATGAGTAAGATTGAGAAAATGTATGGCCATATTACAATGAAAAGGGTTTCTATTGCTATAGTCAGTCCACTCAAAGATCGAGAAAGTAACGGTTAGGTAAAGGAGAATGACAATTTCATATCTCACACTTGATTTAAATATCACGTGACAAAAAGGATGTGATACGGTTGCATAATAGGTTACATCGGATCATCGATCCCTATGTGAATTGGATAGTTGTAATGTCTTGTTAGATGCCTCTTGTGACTTGTAAGCTAATAACATAATTAGCCTACTACCAACTTCATATGAGCCTACAGGGTCGCACACAAGAACGGCCCAACTCGAGCTATAATGTCCAAGTTCATTAAATCATGAATATGTCTAGATTCAATGAATGTAATATAGGGTGAATGAATTATATATATATATATATATATTAATATATATATATATTTACATGGAATATAAAATTTGAAATATAATTTATATATATATATATATATATATTCAAATATATATATATACATTCATATATATGTGTGTGTGTGTATCTAATATGTTTATGTATATGTATATGACATATAAAATTAAATATAAACAATATATATATATATATGTGATATATTATATTATATTATATTATAATATGGTAGTTTTAAATTTAATTTTATATGATAGATTAAATCTAATAACTAACATGATATGAGAGAATATCATGTCATTTTTATGATTTGAATTTATAAGATAAAATTAAATTAGATATGATATTATTGATTAAATTTATGAGATAAATTTAATTAAATTTTTATGGGCTCTTTAAGTAGAAGATGAAAACCTTAATCCATGTACTATATATAGATAAGGACGTGTTTTATGAAGAGAGAGCTAGAAAAGTTCTGATGGCAAAAATACTTTGAGAGCTATAAAACATCCTATAGAAAGGAAAACTAGCGTTCAAAGAAGAACGGATGCTGGGAGCGCTAGCACACTGTTCGAGTTAGAGAGTTATTTGTGTGGATATCGAGGAGCAGATCTATGTCGTTAGCTCTTGAGATCTCAACTCTTAAAGAGAACACACGTCAAATTTGAAGAATTAAAAGGTAACTTTTCCATTTACCTTTATTTAAATGAGTTCGTTCGATCCATATCAGGATAAAGATTTTAAAATTTTAATATTTTGCTACGCCCCCTATCCATCACCCTAAACCTATTCCTCCTATTTTCTTTCACATTTGTGAGTGAATGGTTAGGGTTTGATAGTGGTAGATGATTTTTCAG